AAAAAAAAAAAAAAAAAAAAAAAAAAAAAAAAAAAAAAGAAAAAAAAAAGAATACATCTAATACTTTTTAAAACAGCATTTCTTTATATCACTCTTTATACTGCATTTAAAACCACAATCTTTTTTTCTTTTTTTTTCGGTTGATAATCAGAATTAACATCTACTTCATAGAACTACGATAATGGAAAAATAACTTCTTACAAAACTACAGTTGGAAATACAAACCACTGTATCTCACACCATAAAAAAAAAAACAATTAAAAAAAAAAATAATAATAATAATTATGTGCACTACGTTCATATCTCCTCATGGACTGGTAATCAAATCTACTTCCACAATATCAGCACTCTTTTCACGAGTTGTTTCTTCTTCCTTCATCTCCGTCAATGAAGCTGTTTCCTGCATCACCGTCACACCTTGCGATACCGAACGAGATGGTGGACTTGAACTACCGGATGAAACCACAACAGGATCTACAGTCAATTCAACACAATGATTAGAAGTGCAAGAAGAAGAAGAATTGGCAGCATCAATCTTTTTCACTGCACAACACTCTTCCTCGTGTGTCAGTGGCAACAAATCTTCTCTTCCAGTACATTCATCATCATCATCATCACCACCAGCATTATCATTATCAGTTTGTGTACGAACACACATATGCGGCCGACCAGTCTCTTTGCAGTACTTACTTTCTGGCTCATCACAATAAACACACAATGGACTGTTATCATTCACCTCGCATGTGCTCTCTACAGGGCATTGCTGCAATACTGAAATCTTTCTCTCCGCCTCACATTTTAGAATACGACGAGCCAATTCTTGTGGTGGTAAACTGTTAAGATTTTCTTCAATAACACTAGCATAAAGGTTACCCAATCGTTTCGCCCGTTCAATTATATGCGTCGATTGAAACAATAATGAGTTACTATTACCATTATCAAGCATTAAGAAGATAGTAAACTTTGTGGAACGCCTTCTTGACATCAACAGCAAAAGAATAACAAAAAAAGAAACAAGGACAAAAAGTGAAGTGAAGTGCAATGGATTGGAAAGACACAATCCCACAAGTACATGACACAAAAATATTGACAGCAACCAATGGCAGATGCATTTCCAGTGATAACAAAAAAAAAA